TATACTAAAAATTAATCGCCTACTGTATTTTAATTTTAAAGATCAGGACAAAAATATTCTTTTGAAATTCGTTTTTTGAGTAGTGTATATGGAGTGATTGCATAATAGCCTAGAATAAAGTCTTACTCTTGTATATTGTGTGGAGGGGTTAGGATGTGTGTGAGGGATGCAAGTGTGTGTGGGGGGATGACCACACGCTAGGTCCTGGGACTTTTTACTTAGGCATACTTAGGCCCATCTTGACCAGTTAAATATGTATACTACAGAGATCCTCAGTCAGGATGCTGTGGCATTCTAGGTGTCCATGAGATGCTTCTAAGGGTGACCAAGGCTGCCCATGCAATATTAACACCATTAGATGTGCAAACACCTATATGTGATTCACAAAATAATCCCAAAGATTTCAAATAGGAATCCAGAGTTTCAAAAGCATCCTGACCTGTTGTGGTCTTTTCTGCGGTCCTTGTGACAGAAGTCTTGCTCAGTTATTTTCTGTAGTTAAAAACTGAGTTAAAGGTAAGAGCTGGTATTTTCTGAGTACCCTGGGTTAAAAAAGGCTTGAAAACATTGATATATATACACATTAAAAGTGTATAAAGTATTTATATATTAATTATGCATGTTTATTCAAATTGGATTTATATAATTATGAAAAATTGTTTGTTTATACAGTTTGCAAATTATATTTTCCTGTTCCATGTTATATGGTAAACATATTAAAATAGATGCGTTTGTCATTAGTTGAACAGCAGGCAATCAGATTAAACATTTTAAACTTTTAAAATACAGTGTGATTTGTTACTTTGTGTGTTAGGTTTGTATTTTACCATCTGTATATAAGTTTAGTAACATTACCCTATTTACTCAAACCCAACATGAGGTTTTCCCCCATTCAGCATGGGGGGGAAAAGTCCCTCTTATTGGATTTCAGGTGAGGACCAGAGTCAGACTAATAGCAGCCATCTTCCCCATACCCACTGTCTGGTGCAACTCTAGCTCCAGCTCTCATGGGGCACAGAGTACATAGAAACTGCAGTGCACCTCAAGTCCTGGGACACTGCTGTGTGGCTGGGTAGGGGCCATGCTTCCATGTGACCCCGGGGGGTATGGAGCCAAAACTGTTTGACAGTAAGGGGGGGAAGGGGCAGAGACTGCAGAGAGCGATGGTGATGGGGGTGAGCAGACTGCAGGAAGTTTTGAGGAACAGATGACAAAGGGAATTCCACACCCCAGCCACCTGCCCACTCCCCTGCATTACTTTCGCCACTGCAGTAGTGGAGGAGACAAATTCAAGATGACCCTCCATTAGTTAGATTCTATGCCTGGAAAATTGTAACAAATTTATAATTTTTCCATTTATAGAACCTGATTATTGGGGGGGGATCATTTTAGATTTAGGTAAGTATGGTATATTAGAAAATTGCTTAGCTAAGTATTCTGTATTAAATGTAATTATATATTATTACATATGTTTATTTACCCACAGGGAGAAGACAATGGTTATTATTTCAGCCCAGTAGAACATTATTGTGTTTTGACCTTTTTTTTTTCTTTTGCTTTTTCTCTCAGGCGCTCTTTTGAATTTTTAGACTTGTTATTGCAAGAGTGGCAAACACATTCTTTGGAAAGGTACGGGCACAGAGCATGCATGTTCTTCATCTGTGAAACTTGTTAATAAATTTGAAAATAAGAATCTTTATTTTGAGTTATATAGCTAGAACAGATGGCCAAAGTCTGAAATAAGAGTTATGCAGAGTGTGGTAGCAGTATTTAGGCCATCGCTACAATTAACAATCTGTTAAAATTACAAAAATCTTTTTTTAAATGCTGTTTAAACATGCATTTTAAACGTGCATTGGAATTTAGAATGCTGTATATAAGTGAACAGGTTTGCTTTATGGGTAAAAACTATCTTAAATTGTGTTTGTTTCTCTTAGCAATCATATTATGCAAAACAAATTTATTATTTAAAATACCTGTTTACCTTTTAAAGATAATTATTTTGCAAGAATTTAGTAGATGGACCTGGATCTGTTTGTCTGAAAAATAGTGCAGCCATAGGTATATTCATAGTGGGAAAGGAAGGAGTGGAGAAGTGGAAGCATACAGGTTTTCATTCCTGCATGACCCTAGACAAGATCTTCCTTGTTGGAAGAGGAAGATCTTTTCCCAGATTCAGCATACTTCCTGCTGGAGAAACTGCAGGAGTACCTGTATTCTCCCCATCTCTAGCAGGAGAAAAAGGCACTTCTGTCACTAGAAATGTAATGCATGTCCATGTCCTCAGTAATGCACAATCGCAGAAGAAAAGACTGCATCCCAGTTACCTAAATCACTTTTAACCTGTGTCCTGTGGACCCCTAGAGGTCTGGAGGCTGTGTGAGAGGTCTGCGAAAGATGACTGATCAAGCAAAAGTATATGAGAGATCCTCACTTGCAATTCAAAGGGGTCCAACCAACATTCGAAATTTCCAGTGTGAGCCACAAATGAAAAAGGGTTGAAAACTGCTGACCTAAATAGATACTAGTTTGTGATTTTTTTTTTTTTCCCATCACCAATATTTTATTATGTATTAGTGTTGATAATGATCAGTGCGCTTCGTTTACATGCTTTTAGGATTGGGTTTAAAACCTCTTTAGATATGTATTGACATGGCACAGTGTTATCAGAATGTCACAATTATTAATATATTTATCCCTTTCCTTCCCTTCTGAAACAGGGGAAGTAGTGTTATCTTTATTTACTGATGAGGAAGAACTGAGGCATAAAAAGTTAAAGTGATAGGCCAGAAGTTGTCATATGTCACGGTGTATAAGGCAACACAGTGTATAAGTCAACCCCAACCTTTTTGATTTAAAAAGTTAGGTTTTTTATATATTCGGTGTATTAAGTCAACCCACATTTTATAATGATCCACTTGTCAAATATTCCAAATGAGTAATTTGTTCACCGTATGGATCCTTGACATTGGAAGTTTCTGCATCTTCATCCTTGCTTTGATCTTTGTTACGAAAAAAAGATTCGGCTCTGCTGGCAGGTTCCAGGGAAGTTGGATTGGGCCCCTGGGAGCTCGGGCACCACTCAGCCCACTGGAAGCCCCCGTGGCTGCGCCTGGGGGACACCACAACCATGGAGGGAAGGACCGCCCCCTCCTGCAGCTCAGGGGCTGCCCAGCCCACTGTGGGGGTGAGGGGTGGGTAGGCTCCACTGAAAGCAGGATTGGGCCCCTCACCACTTCTTCCTTCAGCGGCCTGCTGCAGCTGGCAAGAAGCCTGGTGCTGCCCAGGAAAGGGCTGCCTCACACCATGGTGGGCCAGCAGGCTAGGCAGTGATCCGGGTGCTACGCGAGCTCCCAGGGACGTGATCCAACTTCCTTAGAGCCCAGATATGGTGTATAAATCAAGGTGGAAATTTAACGGTAAATTTGGGGGGGTTCAAACCTCAACTTATGCATTGTGAGATACGGTATAGAAAATGTTTGTAGGGAACTAAATCCAGTGTCCTTAATCCCAGTCAAGTACCTTAAATGTAAGATCCTCTTTTCCTAATCTTGTAAGGATATTTTGCAGGCAATGACAGTTCTTTGTTTCTCACTACTCTGTTGTCTGTTGAGTAAATAATCATTATCAGGCCATTGGTATGTGTTCTTGTTTGTGACTGGTTGATCCCCAAATTTATTTTTTAGGATTAAATCAGGCAATATGACTGTATGCCAAAATATAGGGAAGTCTGGATTCTATCATTCTTTAGCATAGCAAAAGTTTTGCCATGTCTAACCTGTTTTAAAATAAAAGGATTTTCCTAAAATGCTGTGCCTGTCTATACCAGTAAACTCTAATTTTACAGATTAGACACAGATTTCACTTTCTGAATAAGAAATAACAAGCACCTGATACAGCCTGTGAGAGCCTCTAGGCTGCCAGATGGCTTGGAGAAACTTTAATTAACAGGTTAAAAGTATCTATTTTTTGGCTAAATATGTAGCAGTAAAAGGTAATACGAGGACTGTTTGTCTTCTAGGCATGCAGCTGTCTTGGTTGAAACGATCAAGAAGGGAATTCATGATGCTGATGCTGAGGCACGAGTGGAGGCAAGAAAGTAAGTTTTGACTTGGCTTTTAACTTTGATTGAAAGCATAGGTATTTTGCTGTAATGGGGAGAGATTTAGTTATTGTAACATGCTTGAAGTATTCAGCTGTTAATCACTGGGTTAAAATTTGATTAGTTGATTATTTTAATGATCTTGAATGAGTGTGTTTCTCCCATTTCAAAGTTTCCTACCCATTTTAATAAACCATAGGAAGAGTGTTGTTTTTAGAATCTAGGGATGTTAACATATTTGAGTAATGCAGGTTAGTATTGCTATTGAATTGTTCCTCCTACTTGATTAGTAGAATCATTGAACAATTAACATTCTATTTGTGAACAAGTATGCCAAAAAGTTACTCATCTTCCTCTCCCATACCTGTGTTTTTCTTTTATGGGCAACAAGACACATACCAGCAAGAATATGTAAAGAAGTTCTCAGAGTGGACATGGGCAGATAAAATGATTTTGAAAAGATGAGTTCAGGCTTGTGCTGAATGCCTCTACAACCTGGATAGCAAATATATTTAGAGAGCATATACTTACCCTGATTTTTTCCCCTTTTGCTGCTTTACCTACTTGTTCTCCCTTCTCCTGCCTCCTTTCTTATTAGTCATAACTGTATAACAATTATACCTGATGTTTCTTTTGCTTTCAGAGCTTATCTAGGTCTTAGAAATCACTTCCCTAGTGAAGCAGAGGCTCTGTACAATTCCCTTGAGCCATCCTATCAGAGAAGTCTCCAGACTTACTTGAAGAATTCTGGCAGCATAGCATCTCTTCCTCAATCAGACAGGTCATCCTCCAGCTCACAGGAGAGCCTCAAGTAAGGGTCACTTAAGTGATCATCAGCCTGAAAAGGCAACATTTTTGCTTTGTTGCTTGTTTATATGTAGTTCATGTGTTCATATGGACTCAGGTTTAATGATGAACTTCACTATTACATACCAATTTGCTGTTTCTGTGTAGTAATTCTGTTGATTAAAATGAAGCTAATATTGATCCTTTGCAGTTAGCATGCCACAGTAGAGGCTAAAAGCAGAAGTTACTTGGAGTTTAGCACTTTGCTCATGAATAATTTCTAAATATGTGCACTGTATTACATTGAACGATCATTAAAGTTATCGAACCAAACAACAATTTCCGCAGTAAAGCAGCAAGTGTATCACTTACCTAAGATACGGAACAATGAAAACATATCAAGAAAGAGACTGAGTGCTACTTCCTTCCATTCGATTTAAGATAGATCATGAAACATGCAAAAGTGTGGCATTGCAGTAATACATCAGGCAGTACTTAGGTCGGGGGCAGGCAGTTATTTCAGGTGGAGGGCCACGTATTGAGTTTTGGCAAGCCATCGAGGGCCACATGACAGGCAGCCAGGGGCGGATAAATATTAATTTCCTACATTTTTTAGGGGCCCAGTGGGCCAGGTAGAATGGCCTGGTGGGCCGCATCCAGCCCACGGGCCACATTTTGCCCTCCCCTGACTTAGATGCTTCAGAATAAGTACAGAAACTCTCCAAATTCTGAGGGTATTTCTGCTCAACACAAAAAGATAGCTAAATTAAAGCTAGCTCATTTACCAATAACAGTGTATCCACAGTGACATAAAGTCCATTGCAAGCTAATGGCCTGTGTATGCAGGATCTCAACAGGCTGTACAGTCTTGTATATTCTCTGTTGTGTGCACTCCTATTGGTGCCTGAAACCTTGAATACATATTCAGAGCCTCCTGCCTAGAGCATTAGTCACCACCCCAGAGCAGGCTGTCAGTGATTAGCTCACAGTTGCTACTTTAATCTGCTGCTCTCAGAAGCAACTTTTTGGGCAGACCTCACAACAGAGGCAGCTCTCTGACACCTGTGGGGCAGCTGCACCAGTCTCTGCTGCTCTGGTGGAAGCAGCAAGGCCCCCAGCACAACTGCTGCTCCCCAGAGAGCCAGGAGGGTAGGGGAGGAAGAGCTGAGGACTTTGGGATGCTGGGGGACCAAGAGACAGCATTACAGAGATGTTCCTGTTTGAAACAGGGGTGTGGGTTGTAGGCGTGTTGGTCTAAGGCAGGGGTGGGCAAAATATGGCCCGTGGGCCAGATTCGGCCTGCAAGGCCATTCTATCCGGCCCATGGGGGCCCTAAAAAATGTAGAAAATTAATATTTCTCTGCCCTTGGTTCCTGTCAAGAATGACAGGAAGTAAGGGCAGTAGGACCCAGGGGAAGCCCGGCAGGCTCCAACAACAGCGGGGACCCACCTGGCCCCGCCCCCCCCCAGCCGGAAGCTCCTACCAGGGCTTCTGGCCACGTGGCTGCCCCATGCTGGAACCTCAGATAAGTGGGGGGAGAAGGGTGGGGGACCCCAGGCAAGGAGCACAGGGTGGGGGGAAGCAGCCCCTTCCCTGCCCCGCGCTGCAGTTGCTTACAGCCTGCTTGGGGCTGCCTGTGCCTGCTCCCGACAGCCCTGTACGGGCTGCAAGCAGCTGCATCAGGGAGTGCTGGCCATGGGGCAGGGGAGGAGCTGCTCTTCCCTGTGCTCAGCTTTTTCCTGGGATCCTTTCCTGCACAGAGAAGAGCGGCCCATTGCCCACCCCATGGTCAGTGGTCTGTGCTGCTGGTGCTCGCAGCCCACATGGGACTGTCTGGAGCAGGTACAGGCAGCCGCACGCAGGCTACGAGTGGCTGCAGTGTGGGGCACTGGGCATGGGGCAGGCGAGGGGTTGCTCCCCCCCCACCCGCGCTCAGCACCAGCTTGTAACCCGGCCCTACTGCCAGGCTGGCAGCGGGGCCAGGTTACAAGCTGGTGCTGAGCACAGGGAAGAACAGCCCCTTGCCCACTGTGTGGCCGGCACCCTGCGCTGCAGCCGCTTGCAGCCCACCTGGGACTGCTCCAGACAGCCCTGTGTGGGGTGCGAGTGCCTGCAGTAGGGAGCACTGGCCATGGGGTGGGCAAGGGGCTGCTTTTCCCTGCGCTCAGCACCAGCTTCTTCCCTGCCGGCAAGCAGGGAGTTGGAGCTGTGCGCTGCCTCCCACCTGTACCGCAGGGCTAGGGGGAGCTGGGAGTGAGTGGGCAGGGAGCCAGTGGGAGCACGGGGCCCGCACAGGTACCCCAGGGTCAGTGCTGGTGGGGCCCAGAGCAGGGTGGCAGGAGCGTGGGGTCCCAGCTGGCAGGGGCTCTATGGAGCTGGGCCAGCTCCCGCCTCTTTCTGCTGGTGCAGTCCAGCCTGGCTCCACAGACCCCTGCCAGCCTGTGCCCTGCTTTAGGCCCCACCAGTGCTGGCCGTGGGACATTTGTGCCAAGATGGTGACCAGGGGGTGGGGCACTTGTCAAGGGGCAGGGCTACCCATGCAGCCCTCCACAGCCTGCCAAAACTGGGTAAGCGGCCCTCTGCCCAAAATTATTGCCCACCCCTGGTCTAAGGGCATAGGTGGACAAGGTTCTTTGGGTGAATCTGATATCTTTTATTACACCAACTTAAATAGTTGGAAAAAAATTTTTAGCAAGCTTTCAGGTTTAAAAACTTTGTCAGGCTGAGGAAGTCTGTTTGAAACGAGCACTCTGTGGCACTACAGACAGCCTGAATGTATCCGCACTTGCCTTGTGTAGCCCTGATAAGGGCATATTAAATGTCATTCCATAAATGTAACTTGTGTCCAAGACCTGAGTTGCCTACAAAGCTATCTTATACATGTCTATACAGGCATACCTCATTTTATTGCGCTTCGCTTTATTGCGCTTCGCAGATATTGCGTTTTTTACAAATTTGAGGCAAGACCCTCCACCAGCAAAAAGATTACGACTCGCTGAAGGCTCAGATGATGGTTAGCATTTTTTAGCAATAAAGTATTTTTTTAATTAAGGTATGTACATTGTTGTTTTAGACATAATGCTATTGCACACTTAAGAGACTACAGTATAGTGTAAACAACTTTTATATGCACTGGGAAACCAAAAAATTCGTGAGACTTGCTTTATTGCGATATTCGCTTTATTGTGGTGGTCTGGAACCGAACCCTCAATATCTCCGAGGTATGCCTGTACAAGCTTCTGTAGTTCCTTGAAGCAAAGTGTAGATATATTCAGAGACTTAGTTAGACTTTAGCTATGAGTTTCCCCTTTTCTGCTCTTAATTTCAGTTATATTATTTTTGTGTAAATGCTATTACCATAAGCACTTTAATTAGAAGTTACCTGCAGAAATATAATTTTTTACTCAGTATGTGCAATTTTACGTGGCTTTCAGGATTTTGAAGTGTTATAATTCACATTCTTCTGTTAAGAGTAGAACTTAAAAAAAAATCCCTTAAAAAAAAAAGGGGGGGGGGTATTTTAACTTTTAAAAAGCAAGCATGGAAATAGGAAACATTTTTCTTTTCTTTTTTAATTTCACACATCATTATAAAAGTGTTAAGAGGTTTTAAAGATGATGGTTCTTTCAGTCATACAAGGAGGCTGGCTTCAGTGGATTTAATCGGATCACTTCAAAGGTTGCATTTAGATGTTGGGGCAGAGAATGGAATCTGGTAGGATTCTTCCCAAGTCTGCACACACAATACACTCCCAACAATGCGAGTCATTAAAGTAAGATTTTACTTGCAATACACTACATCCAAAATGGCATTATGCCTGCTGACCCATGGGCCTTCTTGAACTTGACCCCTTCTCAGTACAGATTCAGTATGCTCAAATACTCTATCAAGTTCCTTAGATTTTAGTGTTTTTTGATTTGGAGTAAAATAAGTATCTCAAAAATGCTACCTGCTTGTGGCATTTATAATAAATTATGTGGATTTCTGGGTTGCTTTCTGTTTTCTAACATGAGGAACAAAATAGTTAACAATACTGATATTTAAATTAAAATATTAGGGATCTTAATTAAGTCTTTTAGAGCCATTATTTCAAGGTCTGGCCAGAGTCCTATATCATTTAAACATTTTTCACAGTTTTGAAACTTCTTTTTCAACTAACTGTAGAGATTTGCCTGTTTTTAAAAAACAAAAGATAGTGGTTTGAGTGATGTGCCAGTACGCAGCATTGACCTATACTAGCTGAGCATGAACACGTCCTGGTTCCCAGCCACATGAATGCTCAGGTGGTATAGACAAGTCAAAGAACTGCTGTTTTTTGCCACATTAGCAGAGCAACACGTAGCAGAATCTGTTTCACTCCTTTTCTCACTTACATTGCTTATAGCAGAGAGAGTGCTTTCTTGGGCACACAAATATTACTCTTGGGTCTTTATTCATCAGCAGAGGGAGGGGCTTACAGCTTCAGAGAAGACCAGGAAATTTAAATTGTGCAACTTTCCTCACTGTCAACTTGATCAAAGAGCTCAAAGAGAAAATGGTAGAAAGGGGTGGGGAATAGGCCCAGAAGAAATTATGTAAAAAAAAAAAAAAATTTTTGAAGAGGAATATCAAAAGAAGCAGAATCTTGCCCCACTGCTTCCAACACATTTCATGCCACTCTGGGCAGGTATTGATCAGAATCTACTAGTGGAAGGAATGATTGCAGGCAACCACATCATATAATCCTTTTGTTATGTGTGTAGTAAGATCCATCTTGAGTTGTTTAGTCTCTACTCTTCCTGGAAGGCTGGTCAGTCCCCAGGGTTAGAAGTGTGTTTTTCTGATTTCCAGCCCAAACTTGTTCCTGGGATATTATAGTACTTCTGTAGCTTATATTCTGTCATTCATATTCTTGAAAGATTTATATTACGTTGTCAGTCCCCAAAGACATTAATGTTGTAGCAAGGGGTTAATTTTACAATGTGCAAAAGCAGAAACGGTAGGATGTGCATGTTATGTATGTCATTCTAAGTAATGTGTTACCTGAAATCTGTTTTAGAAAATGAAGGAAAAATATGAAGGGTTTAAGAGTATGGTTCTTCTGTTTTCCAAAAAGGCATAATTGATTTTTGGATGCAATATATATCGTTGAGTTATTTTTACTGAAGCAGTTATTCCTTGCTTATCTTTCAGTCGCCCTCTGCCCTCTAAATGGTCTACAGCCAGCCCAGCAAGTATAGCCAGTAGAGGTATGTTTATTGTTTTACTGTACATAAAAATAGAATTATTTTGCGTAAACTGTACACTTGGGCAGGCCATCATTCTCATTTTTTTTAATTAACCTTGAGTTCTGATCAAGTCTTTTCTAATATTTTTTTGGTCTTTACTCTCAATTAAAACTGCATGACTACAGATGGTGCTATCATCTTTTTTCAGTTGCTTATACACTCTGTGGCCCTGTGTGTTCAGAGTGCAACTTTCCATAATGGATGTCTACCTCTGTAAGGAATGCTTTCCTAAATATTTTCTTCTTCTGTGTGCTTCGTTTTACAACTGTTTCATTGTGAAGTTCAACTGGCTCCCTTCTTTGAAGCAGAGGTTGGCATTTTAAATAGTGGTGTGGTATCAGGAAAATTCACCCAGATTTAGCCAAATGAATTTCAGTTCTCACTTGCTCAGCTGAAGCATAATGGTTTGGCAAATAATGTTCACAGAGCTTTGTTTGTTCTGGGTATTCCCCAGTTTGGAACTGCTGTAGTTGAATTTTTCCAGATGGTCATGCTTCTTGCTCCTGTAGTACTGAGGGCAAATCTGAGAACAGGCAGATTCAGGAGAAAGGGAAAGGAGGATGTGTGGAATGCAAAGTGGGCTTTAGGTGATAATGAGGAGAGGGAGAAGGGGCAGAGATTAGGTGAAAGCAGATTTAGGAAGGGGAACAAAACACAATAAAATGAGCATTTTGAATGGACAGATGAACACAGAACAGTTCATAGGGGCACAACCTGGAAGGAAATCCATGATTTCAGAAATGGAACTCTGTTTTGCTACTGGTAAAGTTCTCTGTCTCCATTGACTAGTCCATATTGGTACTACTACATCCATTGCTTAGTCTTGGCTCAGGCAAAGTCTGTGCTATGAATGTAGGCCTAGGGACAGACATTCAAAAAGCCTGAGCCTGAGTTGATTCAATCTTTGCAGGTTAGTCTAACTTGCCTAGGTTTAACCGGTTTGCAACTGTACAGACATTCCATCTGGACTGAAGAAATGCAGACACATGCCTGCAGTGGCTCAGGCTAGAAGTTGGGTGGTGCTAGAGCCACCCTCCTCCCTTCCCTTCTACAGTGCTGAACTGAGGGGCCAGGTGTCCAGGACCTAGCAGGACGCTTTCATTAGGGAGGGGCGTAAACCCCCACCCTGCCTGTACTGTCCAAGGCTTTTTCCCACTTGCTGCTCAAGAGGCAGGAGTGTTGCTAGACCCTAGCCCCCAGCTAGCACTCTGAGGCAAAGGAGGGTGGGGGGCAGTGCATGCATCTGTTGATGATGCTGAACTTTTTAATTTCCCTCTCCTTGCTTCTTCATACTGCAAACCGGACAGGTGAGGGAGCCAGCAGGTAGCTGATAACACAGCGTTTATTAGCCCATTAACAAAACAAAAGCCTGTCTCATTAGTTTAAGCTCTTCTTAAACAGCTTTTTCCAAGGAAGGAATGGAGGGACATTACCAGCTGACCAGTTGATTAGGTCCAAAAAGCTGTAAGCGGACACTGTTCTGTCTTCCTGTCCCAGTGAAATTGGAGGCACGCACACATAGACTTTAACTAGCATACTACATGCCTAAGGTCTGTTGGGCTGGAGTCCAGGCTGTGGGAGATGGGAGGGAGAGAGCGGGGTGGGGGATCCCTGCTTGAGCAGTGAGTGAAGAGGTGGGTGGGTAGGGGGAAGCCAGGTAGGTGCTGCTGTGCCTACAGTCTCTCATGAACCTCCAGCTAGGGAGCAGAGGGGCCCTGTTCCCTGGAGCAGGCAGCACAGTCCAGCCCAACCTAGGGCAGCAAAGTATCTGGTGAGGGACTGGATGCTGAGAGACTCTGGTTTAACTTAAACCAGGAAAGGGACTTGGACAGATATTGCATAAACCTGTTTGATCCAGATCAGTTAAGCCTGATATTACATTCAGCCTGGTGTATCTTCAGGGGCCATTGCCCGGGAGGATTATACTGCGGTTGCTTGGGGATGCAGGGGGGCAGTCAGGAAGGCCAAGGCGGAGATGGAACTGGGACGAGCTTCCTGGATCAAGGACAAGAAGAAGTCGTTCTTTAAATACATAGGGGGCAAAAAGAAGGTTTTGGGTAACGTGGGGCCCCTGCAGGACACGCTAGGAAATTTGGTTGTCACACCAGACGACAAAGCTAACATATTTAACGATTTCTTTGCCTCTGTTTTCCTGAGCAGGGACCGGAACAGCCACCCCCCCCGGGCCCCCCTTAGACCCCAGGGGAGGCGCACCTAGGCCAAGGGTTAGTGAGGAACTAGTTAGGGGACTTCTGGAGGGACTGGATGTATTCAGATCAGCTGGTCCAAACGATCTCCACTGTAGAGTACTGAGGGAATTGGCTGAGGTCATTGCGGGACCCCTGGCACGGCTTTACAAGTACTCGTGGTGCTCTGGTATGGTGCCAGAGGACTGGAAGAGGGCCATTGTGGTCCCCATCTTCAAAAAGGGGAGGAGGGAAGACACGGGAAACTATAGGCCAGTTAGTCTTAC